TGTGTTTGATCAGTGAAGCCAGCAGGGACAGAGCACTGAAACCCCCAACAAATGTGTTAACAGGAATTTATTGTAATAGCCAGAGGATGTGTGCTCGCCAGGGATGTGTGTGGAGAAAGCATCCCCTAATGGGGCAGTCATGCCGCAATCAATCCCTTCTCCAATTCTCTATCCTGTTTGTGTTTGGAAAACACATGTACACACAGGCCTGGTTTGTATTTCAAGCTGCTGGGGCTGTGATTTAAACTGGTCATCCATCTGGAATCCAGCTCCCTTAATGAGTAGGCTACGGACCCATCCCAGCAGCCCAGAATTTTAATATCAGAATAACAATGTCTTAACATTTTATGGATTTTCAGGGAGGCCAGTTTGTCCTCCCATTCAAATCTAAGCATTCCTAGATGGGGAAAACTCTAGTTCAGTGGTGACTTCAGTGATCCAGGCTACTGGCATCATGTGACCTTCCATCTTTAGTACATGGCTCCCAGGGTTCCCTGCAATTGGTTTCCAAGTCCAGAGATTCAACTTCACAAGTAAGGCTGCTTCTGGGAGAGAAGCAGCTCCTTTCTCTTTCTGAATATGTTACTCTCTATTCCATTCCAACAGACTCCCACTCTCCTACTTTCTATCTGGCAGATTCAGTTCATCTTCCATCTATAACTTGGGACACTAAGGGACTCTATAAAGAGAGTTTTTTCCACAAGGAAAAGAGAACTTTCTGAGTGATAGTCTGTGGCTACGGGTCTTGACATAGTAATGAACTAATGACATGGCACATCCATAGATGTGGAGGATTAAAACTCAGACTAGGGACTGGCAGTTGGCGCAATGGCTATGTTGCTGGACTCCCATGAGTCGACTACGGTTCGAGGCCCGGACCTGGTAGCTTAAACTCACACCAGGCACATATGCATGTGTGCCCAAGATCCCAAGAGGAGAATGGAGGAGAAGGGATTGCTGCATGGCCATCCCCCCTAGGGGGTGACTTCTCACTTTCTGTCTCTCTGTCTCTCTCATCTTTCTGGCGAGTGTACACGACCTATAGCAAAAACCTCTTTAAAAAAAATAAATAAATAACTCAGACTAGGTATTGAGGTGAGCAGAAGAGGTAGCCAAATGCCTGGTGAAGTTTTCTTTGTTTAGAATTCATTAGAAAAATAGAGGGGGAAGAGAGCTTATGTTAGGTAGTAAGTAGGGAGATGTTTTTATATGTTGTTGAATATAATTTTTAAAAATATGAGGACCCTCTTTAACACATGTTTATTCTCTTCACTACAATCTTGTTTTTAGTAGAAAATGGTACAGTTACATTACACTGGTGTTCTCAATACATCACTTTAGGTGGTAAACTGACTCAGCATTGAATAGCAATGAGTCATTTCTGTAAAACACCTGCAAGATTTCTCATTCTGTCAAAGACAGCCTTGAACTTATCTTTGATTCTTACTAATACGCTTTATACCAACTATCAATATCTTCTTAGATTTTTTTTAAAGAAAAATACTCTATATTGTTCCCCCCCTTTTATTTATTTACTTCTTCCATGAGCAAGACAGGCAAGAGAGAGAAAAAGACAGACAGGCACCCCCAACTGTGTCTTCATGTCACAACCTACTCCCAGTTTCAGCCAGCTGGGAACGCTGGCACACATGTGCACCCAACTCAGGAAGTTCCCAGGATGCAAACCCAGGACCATTTCCATGTTATATTACCATTTTCCTACTACCTGGTCCCTTTTCCTAAGTTTGAATCAAAATAATTTACTTTTATTGTCTTTACTGTTATAGTTATCCTTTAGTTATAGAAAATAATACTGGTTTTCTACCTAGAGTGGTGATATAAATTAAGGCCAATTTTTTTTTTTTAGAATTTTTTTGCTATAAGGCGCATGTACTCACCGGAGAGATAGGCAGAAAGTGAGAAATCACCCTCAAGGGGTGATGTCCATGCTACAGTCCCTTCTGCATTCTCCTCTCGGGATTTTGGGCATACACATTGTGAGTTTAAGCGACTGGATCCAGGACTCCAGCCACAGTCAATGACATGAGAGTCCAACGACATAACCATTATGTCATCTGCTGGTCCCTAGACCAAAAAATTTTTAAGTGAGCTGACTGGTAGAAAAAATACTAGATAAAAAGTAGTATAGGTGATATGTGGATGTGGCTTTTTAAAAATTACAATTTTACTATGCAAATAATAACACCATCCTAGAATCTCTAACCCTTTATGATTTCTTCTGTCCTTTTTAAGAGAAATTTTTGCTATAGGGCATGAGCACTCGCCAGAGACACAAAGAGAGACAGAAAGCAAGAAGTCACCCCCCAGGGGGATGGCCATGCCACACCATCCCTTTTACTTCATTCTTCTCTTGGGATTTTGGGCACGCATGCACACACACCCAGCATGAGTTTTAAACCTCCGAGTCTGGGACTCAGACTGTGGTCAACTACGTGGGAGTCCCTCTACATAACCATTATGTCATCTGCTGGTCACCTGCTGTATGACCTTGAGAGAGGGATTTGGGAACTCAAAGGAGTTAAACTGCCAATGGGCCATTTAAGGCAGCTGTCTTAAAATACATCAGCCAAACTACAATAGTTTTTCTTATTTAAATTCTTATACCACTTTCTGGGTTAACAGAAAAGTCTTATCATTATGATAGCATTGATCCTTGTGAAATGTAAATAATTAAATCTACATTTTATTATTTAAGATATTACATCTTTACAGAATATTATTATAATAGCATGGGATTTTATTTTATTAAAGAATTATTTTAACTTCATTATTATTATTTTAATTTGACCAGAGAAAGAGAAAGCAAGAAAGCAAGTTGCCTGTTTCAGGATTCGAACTGCAGTGAGCCGTGTGAGAGTCCAGCACCTTTAACCACCACATATCTTCTTAGATTTTTTTTAAAGAAAAATACTCTATATTGTTCCCCCCCTTTTATTTATTTACTTCTTCCATGAGCAAGACAGGCAAGAGAGAGAAAAAGACAGACAGGCACCCCCAACTGTGTCTTCATGTCACAACCTACTCCCAGTTTCAGCCAGCTGGGAACGCTGGCACACATGTGCACCCAACTCAGGAAGTTCCCAGGATGCAAACCCAGGACCATTTCCATGTTATATTACCATTTTCCTACTACCTGGTCCCTTTTCCTAAGTTTGAATCAAAATAATTTACTTTTATTGTCTTTACTGTTATAGTTATCCTTTAGTTATAGAAAATAATACTGGTTTGTGAGTTTAAGCGACTGGATCCAGGACTCCAGCCACAGTCAATGACATGAGAGTCCAACGACATAACCATTATGTCATCTGCTGGTCCCTAGACCAAAAAATTTTTAAGTGAGCTGACTGGTAGAAAAAATACTAGATAAAAAGTAGTATAGGTGATATGTGGATGTGGCTTTTTAAAAATTACAATTTTACTATGCAAATAATAACACCATCCTAGAATCTCTAACCCTTTATGATTTCTTCTGTCCTTTTTAAGAGAAATTTTTGCTATAGGGCATGAGCACTCGCCAGAGACACAAAGAGAGACAGAAAGCAAGAAGTCACCCCCCAGGGGGATGGCCATGCCACACCATCCCTTTTACTTCATTCTTCTCTTGGGATTTTGGGCACGCATGCACACACACCCAGCATGAGTTTTAAACCTCCGAGTCTGGGACTCAGACTGTGGTCAACTACGTGGGAGTCCCTCTACATAACCATTATGTCATCTGCTGGTCACCTGCTGTATGACCTTGAGAGAGGGATTTGGGAACTCAAAGGAGTTAAACTGCCAATGGGCCATTTAAGGCAGCTGTCTTAAAATACATCAGCCAAACTACAATAGTTTTTCTTATTTAAATTCTTATACCACTTTCTGGGTTAACAGAAAAGTCTTATCATTATGATAGCATTGATCCTTGTGAAATGTAAATAATTAAATCTACATTTTATTATTTAAGATATTACATCTTTACAGAATATTATTATAATAGCATGGGATTTTATTTTATTAAAGAATTATTTTAACTTCATTATTATTATTTTAATTTGACCAGAGAAAGAGAAAGCAAGAAAGCAAGTTGCCTGTTTCAGGATTCGAACTGCAGTGAGCCGTGTGAGAGTCCAGCACCTTTAACCACCACGCCACCTGCTGGCCCCTAGCATGGGATTTTAGAACACAAAGAGACATTATAAACATTTTCCTGGTCAGATTAAATAAGTCAATCCGTTTTTTGTCTTAAATCTTTAAAGATAGCCTCTGTGAATACTTCATAGCTCACACAACAATTCTTTGTACTGGCCAAGAGATTTCTTCTACAAAAATCTGAATATGAAGCCCAGCCATGGTAATACACACAAGTTGGTGCTGCTACTTAAAAGGCTGAGACCACATAAAGCCTGGGTTCCACTCCCAACCCTCCCTGAAAGTTGAATATGATGTAGTCCCAGCTACTCAGGAGGATGAAGCAAGAGGATTGGGACAGAGCGAGACTGGTCTATAAAAGTAAAATAAAATCTCGGGAACCAGCAGTTAGCGTAATGGCTATGTCGCTGGACTCCCACGTAGTCGATCGCGGTTCGCGTCCCTGACCAGTGGCTTAAAACTCACGCCAGGCATGTGTGTGTGCGTGCCCAAGATCCGGAGAGGAGAATGGAGGAGAAGGGATTGCGGCATGACCATCCCCCCTGGGGGGTGATTTCTCACTTTCTGTCTCTATGTCTCTCTCTGTCTGGCGAGCGCATGTGCCCTATAGTGAAAATCTCTCCCGCCCCCCACCAAAAAAAAGTAAAAGAAAATCCGAATAGTAGTTTGTTAGTAATTAGACAGGTTTTAATTAGAAATAAATTGGTTTGCCCCAGAACACTCTCTTGAATTTTATCCCTCAGAAAATAACACCATATATTCACTACTATTACGGCCCACATAGAGAGTATCATGCATTAAATGTTTGTTGAAGTTTTTCCCATTTAATATTTATCATTATTTCCTCACTTGATTAATACTGGCTAGTTACCCCACTAAAACTTTAACATTGGCTTATTATTAGAAGTGATGTACATCGTTCCTACAGCATTTCAAAGCAATATTGGATGTCTATATTAAGTTTAAGCAAAAGTGTGAAGAAAATCATTTCAGCATTTCTCAGGTGCCTTGCTGGCTCTTAAGGTGAGTAAGGTGGTGGTGACTGTTCTGCAGAGAGTTTCTCATAGGCAGGTGGAGCATTGGGAACCTGTGAGAGTGAGAAAGGAATATTGTGAGTTTGGCAACAATGTGTATGCTTCTGGGAAAAGAGTAAGTCAAAATAGCATCATATTTATACTTTTGCTGTGAACCGAAACTTCAAAGTGTTAACACCTAATTTCCACCCCAGGAAGTAATTGTTGAAGTTCACAAGTGTGTATATAAAAACATTGTTGGGGGAAAGAGAAGAAAAAAATGGGACTAAGGAGCTTCCCCAAATTTCAGAAGGTTATTTATATTTGGATTATCCATGTTAACAAAAGTGCCAGTCCCTAACAACAAATTCTTTTATGTTTTAAAGAATTATTCATTTTTCTTTTCAATTTGACCAGAAAAAGAAAGAGAAAGGGAAAGTGAGAAAGCAAGCCACCAGGTACAGGACTCAAACCATGGGTGAGTCCAGTGCTTTAACCACCACAGCACCTACTGGCCCATGAATTCTTAACCACCACGTCACCTGCTGGCCCCATGGCCCATGAATTCTTTAACTGTTTATAGCACTACTACACATTGCCTCTTTACTAAATAGATCCTTATAGTTGTATCTAAAAGCACATTGACGTTACCAGCAGAGCACGAATGTGTCAATTCCTGAAGTATTTTTATTTTTTTCACATTATAGAGTGAGAAACTGAGGTACAGAAAGGTTAAGTCACTTGCCCAAGGTCACTCAACTAGTAAGTTGTGGAGCTAAGACTCAAACGTGGTAATTTGGCTTTAGCATCAATGTTCGCAACCATTATACTATACTGCATCTATACCAATGCTGTCTAATAGAAATACAGTGCAAACCTGCTGAGTGCATGTGCATGCATGTCCAAAATCCCAAAGGGAGGGACAGGCAGAAGAAAAGAGGTTGCAGAATGATCATTCCTCATGGGAGGGGGCGCTTTTTCCTCTTCTCTCTGTGTCTGTCTCTCTCTCTGGAGAATGCACACGCTCTCTAGCAAAATAAATACAGTGCAGACCACCTGTGTAGTTATTAAATTTCTAGTAGCTAAAAAAGGTAAAATTAACCTCTTTTTTTTTTTTTTTTTGAGAGGTTTTTGCTATAGGGCACATGGGCTTGCCAGAAAGACAGAGAGAGACAGAGAGAAAGTGAGAAATCCCCCCCAGCGGGGATGGCCATGCCGCAGTTCCTTCTCCATTCTCCTCTCAGGATCTTGGGCACACACGCACACACACCCAGCGTGAGTTTAAGCCGCTTGGTCCAGGACTCGAACCACAGTCGACTACATGGGAGTCCAGCGACATAGCTGTTACGCCAGCTGCTAGTCCCGGTAAAATTAATCTTAATAATATGTTTTATAAATAAATATATCAAATATTATTTCAACATGTAATCAGTATTAATCAACTATTCATATTCTTTCCCACATACTATGTCTTAGACATAGGGTATACATTATATATGTCAATATTTCATCTTTAATGAAACAACTATGTTTAAGGTATCTGTACAATTAATGAAAGGTAAGCGATTTTTTCCCTCCTTAGACAGTATATATCTACATTCATGAAAACAGTAAATATAACTAAAACACAAAACAGAGAGATATTGTATCCAGAACCACTTTCTTCCTTTGGATCTCACATGTGGTGCTGTCTATGAATCTGAAAAATTAGGGTATGAAAAGATACAATTTAACAAAATTTGTGTTGGGCCACCAGTGGTAAGAACTGTGTATAGGGAGCCAGAGGCTTCATGGGTGACCGGTTTGTGTTCCAGACCAAGTGGCTTGAAAAACACCCTAGGCCAGTGTGTGCGTGCCCGAGCTTCTGACGGGGTGGAGAAATGGCGGAGGAAGGTATTGTAGTGTGACTGCATTCCACAAGGGGGTGCTTTCTCTCTCTGTTTGCCTGTTTGTCTGGCAAGTGCACGCACACTCTGGCAACAAACCAAAAAAAAAACCCTCTGTGTTTCCTTTTTGGATTAAGTACATTTAATTTGTCCTTGCTCTTTAAGTGGTTATATTATTCACTTGAGTTAAAACAGACATTCATGAAATTACCCAGATGCAGGATCTCAACCTACCGCAGATTGACAGTTTTTCTCTTGAAAAGGCAGTTTGCTGTCCTGATGATAAACCTCTTCATGTGATGATCTGCCCATTAAGGCACTTTGAGTACCAGCATGAAGGCTTTTGTCCTGAAATGTAAATTCATAAAGGTTAGTGAATGAAAAGAAGTAATTGAATCTATTAAAGAAAAGAAGAAAAACAACTTTTTTTTTTTTTTTGCTATAGGGCACGTGTGCTTGCTGGAGAGACAGAGAGATGGAAACTGAGAAATTATCCCCAATGGGGATGACCACACCACAATCCATTCTCCTCTCGATTTTGTGCATTCGCATGCACACACCCACCATGGGTTTCCAGCTGCCAGGTCCAGAACTCGAACTGCGGTCAGCCATGTGGGAGTCCAGCAACATAGCCATTACACCATCTGCTGATCCCAAAACCCAACATTTTAAGAATAGGTTTTGGGGGCAGTAGGTGGCATGGTGGTTAGGGGTGTTGGACTCCCACATGGCTGACTGTGGTTCGAGTCCCGGACCTAGCAACTTGCTTTCTCACTTTCTCTCTCTCTCTCTCTCTTCCTATGTGGTCAAATTAAAATAAATAAAGTTAAATAAAATAATTCTTAAAATAAAAGAATGGGTTTTAATCTAGGTTCTGTCACTTGCTGTGAGTCCTCAAGCTAATCACTTTACCTCTGAATTCCAGTTCTTTGATCCACTCAAAATGGGAGGATAATACCCCTAATTCTCAGAGTTGTTGTGGGCATTAACTAAAAGTAAAGCCTTAGTGCAGTGCCTGGCATCCAGTAGTCAGTCAATGGATAGTTTAGAAGAATAAATCTGTAAAATTAACCTCTTGAGAAATTATCACTCAAACGTGAAGGAGAAATAGACTTTCTCAAGCAAATAAAACTTGAGAGAATTTTTCTTGCCAGTAAGTCTTCCTCGCAAGAAATGCTAAGAAAAGTTGTTTTGGTTTGTTTACTTTTGTTTTGGGAGAGTTTTTTTGCTATAGAGCACGTGTGCTCTCCAGGAGAGAGACAGAGAGACAAAGTAAGAAATCACCCCCCAGGGAGATGACCGCGCTACAATCCCTTCTCCTCTATTCTCCTCTCGGGGTCTTGGGCACGCACGCACATACCCAGCATGAGTTTAAGCCACTGGGTCTGGGACTCGAACCACTGTCGACTATATGGGAATCCAGCAACATAGCCATCACGCCATCTGCTGATCCCTAGGAAAAGTTTTTTATAGAGAAAGAAAAAATACAGACCAGAGACTCAGATCTATATAAAGAAAGGAAGAGCATCGAAGAAGGAATAAGTAAAGGTAAAATAACTTCTCTTTCTTATTTTTAATTGATTTACAGATAATTTGCTCAAAATAATAGCAATAATCTCTTATTATATATGCTTATTTATATATACTTGCATGTCATTGAAATGAATGGCAATGATGGAGAGGAGTGAGGAATTAGGATTATTTTGTTACTGGAAGGTACCCAACATTACCTGTGAAGTGATACAGTGTTATTTGGCTTGAATTAGTTGTCAATGTATGTGTATTGCAAACTCTAAGGCAACCACTAAAAAAGAAAAAAACATTCAAAATGGGGGTGGGGGCACTTGGGCGGCAGACTTCAGCGTGGCCCAGGAATCCTGAAGCCATGGATCACCTACAAAGGTTTTTTTTTGTTTGTTTGTTTGTTTTTTTGGAGACGATTTTGCTATAGGGCGCAGGCGTTTGCCAGAAAGTCAGAGAGAGACAGAGAGACAGAAAGCGAGAAATCACCCCCAGGGGGGATGACCATGCCACAATCCCTTCTCCTCCATTCTCCTCGGGATCTTGGGCACGCACGCACATGCGCCCGGCGTGAGTTTAAGCCACCCGGTCTGGGACTCGAACCACGGTCGACTACATGGTAGTTCAGCAACATAGCTGTTACGCCAACTGCTGGTCCCACCTACATATGCTTTGAGATACACTTTAGAGTTTTATTCTAGAAGCCCTGCAACTACCCTAAAAATTGATATATTACAGAGTTGACTTGTTGGCTATACAATGCAGTATGACTGTATAGCTCACTGTGCTTTCAAATATGTTGGTGTGGTGTCATGTGTTCTGGACTATTAATGGAGCCTGCAGTTCCAAATTCAGATATTGTCTTTGCAGAAAATTTTAGTTGACATTTTTATGGTATCCAAAGAAGTATCATTGCAATTGCAAAAAGCCCAAGTGATCCAAAATCAAACATTTGCAAAGAAGTAACAGGGATTGGAAGGAGACAAAGTTCACACCACTCAAATTGTCAAATTTCTTTAAAAATCATAATTATGTGCCAACAGGGCATGTTTGATTAGAAGGCGATAATCTGCAGAATTTTACAGATTCCAGGTACTATGGACCTATTCCAAATGGACTAATAATAGGATGAATTTCCTTAAGATTTGGCCTCTCAGTGATTTTTGGCTTTCTGTGTGACAGCCCTGATGGAAACATTTTCTGATGATTAGCAAAGATTTATTCTTTTGTTTACTGTCTCCTTTTCAAGTGAATTTATTACCAACATTGAAACCATATACTTACCAATAAGATATTTTATTTTTTTAAATGGGGGTGGAGAGTATAACTGATATACGAAGGAGATAAAACGGTATCATAAGATGCTCAATTAAAACCACAAAAGGCAGAAAAAGAGTGAAAGACAAAGGGAGAAACAAATAACAAGGGCAAAAAAAATATAAAATGGTAACAAATACAGTAACTAATACTCCAACTATGTGAATAATCACTTTGAATGTCAGTGGTCTAAATGCACCAATTAAGATTGTCAGATTGAATAAAAAAAAACTAAGACTCAACTACAAGAAACTCGCTTTAAATATAAAGAAACATGTACATTAAAAGTAAATGGATGGGGGCCCAGTCGTGGTGGTGTAGATGGTAGGAGACTATTCGACAATGCTGGAGCTTCGGGAAGGATCATGGTGCAGATCCTGGGTCCATCCACAACAATGCTGTGCGTACACATAATCCTAGAAGACTGGGAGGTGGGGGGATTGCAATACGAGACTCTTTTGAGGGTGCCTGTTACTCTTCTCCCCTTAGAAAAAATAAACTTTTTTTGAAGAGATATTTTTGAAGGCCAGCAGGTGGAGGAGTGGTGGTTGAAGGTGCTGGATTCCCACATGGTTGACCATGGTTCAAGTCCTGGACCTGGTGGCTTGCTTTCTCCCTTTCCCTTTCTCTCTTTCTGTTTCTCTCTGGTCAAATTTACAAAAATAACAATAATAACAAATGGAATTAAATAAATAAATCATTCTTTTTTAAAAAATATATTTTTGGTATAGGGCACATGTGCTTGCTGGAGAGACAGAGAGAGGCAGAAAGCGAGAAATTTATGACAAAACAGAATTTTTTTTTTATGTGTACCAAATTTTAATTGATCTCTTACACCAGAACTCAGATCATGAATGGCTGACAGGATGTTTTGATGGACAATCCTGATTTAAGTAAGACTGGCTTGTGGTTAAATGAATATTGTTGGGTTTTTAAAATTTTTATAGTAATTTCAGCTCAGTAAATGCTATCACTGTTTATCCTTTCTAAAGACATAATTTGTCCATATGTACAGTTTTGGTAAGTATCTTTTATTGTGGACAAAGATTATTTTGTAGCATCTAAGCTTTCTAGAGGTACCAAAGTGGCAACGTATGATAAAAAGTAGAGCTAGTGAATTAGTCAGTTTGTAAATATCTTAGTTATAATTCATAGGAAAGATGCATGTTGGACATGAAGTTGGTTAGCCATCACTGAGCAGTGTATAATAGGACTTGCCCGTTAGGTTGGCATCAGAGGAGCAGAAGGAAGCATAAAAGGAGAGATGTATGCAGATGTATTCATATTTACATTTTGGTGGCCATTGATGTATGTGCGACTCTCTTGGCTGTACTGTGAGAATGCACTGTGTGATTAAATGGAAACATCTTGCTAATATACTTAAAAATTATATGGACCTTGGGGCTGGCAGGTGGCATCGTAGTTAAAGGTGCTAGACTCTCATATGGCCGACCGCGGTTCAAGTTCTGGACCTGGTGGCTTGCTTTCTCACGTTTTCTCTCTCCCTTTCTTTCATACTGTCCCTCTCTGATCTAATTAAAATAAATAAATAAATAAAGTTAAATAAAATAATTCTAAACAAACAAAAAAAATAAATGGACCTTATATTTAAAAATATATATAATTGGTAATTCATTAGTGATGTTCATCTTTCTACACAGATGGTGAATGACGTCTCAAAACCTACTGGAGATTTTTTTTTAATTTAGGCTTATATGTAATTGGTTATATGAATATATAAATGCTGGAGAAATTCCTTTACTTCTAAAAACCAAGCAGACTTGCTTGTGTTTTAATTTGTATTCATTAACCTGTTAAAGGCAAGGACTGAAGTTAAGGTAGTGATGTCTACATTATATATTTTGTCATAACTCTGCTAGTCTAATTAGAATTCCCCTGTATCTGGGACCAGCAGTTAACATAATGGCTATGTCACTGGACTCCCATGTAGTCGACTGTGGTTTTAGTCCGGGACCCGGTGGTTTAAAACTCACACTGGGGCTATCCCCCCGGGGGGTGATTTCTCACTTTCTGTCTCTCTGTCTCTCTCTGTCTATTTGGCGAGTGCATGCACCCTATAGCAAAAACCTCTCCCCCCAAAAAAGAATTCTCCTGTATCCAAAACACTGCCTTTTACTTATTGAAAGACATTTTAATGTGGTTTGTGTATACTATCAAATACAGAATATGTAACACTTTACATGCTTTATAAATGATTTGTAAGGTCAGATGCTTTTGAAAGTCAGTGTGACAAGATTTAGTAACATGTTAAATTTTACCTTTGAATTCTATTATCTAAGTCAGACTAAGTTATATTTCAGGATGATTAGCCAACTGTTTAAAACCACATAGAAACTAAAGAACTACTGTCTATGTGTAATTGGTAATGATGTTTTTGCCAATTTATTAGAAGGATTAAAGTAGAGGAGATACAACATCAGCATAGATTTGTAAATTGTGCCATCATAAGGCTTAAATAATTAAAAACCAAATGACAGGTTATGAAAAAAAAAAAGATAATTAAGGGACTAGCAGGGTGATTTCTTGTTTTCTGTCTCTCTTTCTCTCTTTGGCAAGCACACACACCCTAAAGCAAAAATCACTCTTAAAAAAATAAATAAATAAATAATCAACAGGACCAGCAGATGGTGTAGTAGTTACATCGCTAGACTCCCACGTGGTCCAGTTTGAGTTCTGGACTTGGTGACTTTAAAATCATGCCAGGCACATGTGCATGCATGCCAAAGATCCCAGGAGAACAGAGGAGAGGCGATTGGAGCATTGTCATCCCCTCTAGGGTGTGATTTCTCTCTCTCTCACTGTGTCTGTCTGTCTCTCTCTCTATCTCTCTCTCTCTCTCCAGAGAGCACACATGCCCTAAGATGAAAACCTCTTTAAAAAACAATAAAAGAAGGATATCAAAGAATACTATCAAGAATTCCATGCCCACAAATTTGAAAACGTAGATGAAATGTAACAATCCTTTGAAAGATGCAATTTACCAAAATTCATATAAAAAGAAATATGGCATCTGAATAGGCCTTTATCTAGTATAAAAATTAAATCAATAATACATAATCTTATAAAATAGCATCAGGTCCAGATGTATTCATGAATTAATTCTTCAAAACATTTAAGGAATAAATTCTAATAATTCTCTGCAATCTCTTTCAAAAGATAAATGCAAAGAAACACATCCTGATTCACTCCAGGAGGCCAGGCATTATCCTAATACCAAAACCAGAAAAAGACAGTACAAGAAAACTAAAGATCAGTATTTCTCATGAAACTAGATGCAAAAATCTTCAGCAAAATATTAATAAATCAAATCCAACAATGTGTAAAGAAGAATTATAGGGCTGGCAGGTGGCCAACTGCATGGTTCAAGTCCTGGACCTGGCATCTTGAAAAACACCAGCACACGTGCATGTGTGCCCAAGATTCCAAGAAGAGAATGGAGAAGTAGGTATTGCAGCATGACCATTTCCTCTGGGGGATGATTTCTCACTTTCCCTCTCTCTTCTGTCTCTCTTCAGTGAGTGCACACACCCTGTGGCAAAATCTATACATTAAAAAAATGAATTATAGGGACCAGCAGATGCCATAATGGTTACATCACTGGACTTCATGTAGTCAACCATGGTACGAGTCCTGGATCTGGCAGCTTGGAACTCATGCTGGGCGTGTCTGTATGTGTGCCCAAGATCCTGAGAGGAGAATGGAGGAGAGGGGCTGTGGCATGGCCATTCCCCCGGGAAGTGACTTCTCACTTTCTGTCTCTCTGTCTCTCTCTGTCTCCCTAGCAAGCGCACATGTCCTATAGCAAAAGTCTCTCTCCAAAAAAGATTAAAATAAACAAACAAATAATTTACCATGACCAAGTGGGATTTACCCCCGGCTTCCAAAGCTGGTTTAACACTGGAAAATCAATTACTTTCAAAGTAAAGGTATAAAGCTGGTAAGTATAAAAACCAACGTCTAGACCCAGTCACGGTGGCATGTGCTGCAATGACGTTGTACTCTGTAGGCTGGAACCACGTGCAAGCCTGAGTTTGATTTCTGGTCTATCGGGCATAGTGGTATACTTGTAATTCTAGTGATTGAAAGGCAGACCTGAGTAACATAGTGAGACCTGATCTGAAAGAACCAGGCATGATGGCACGTGCCCGTGTTCCAGCTACTCAAGAAACTGAGGCAGGAGAGTCACAAGGCAGTGAGGCCTTGTCTTAAAAAAAGCAAAAAACAAAATCAATGCCTAGTTCCTTATAAATAATTTTCCACTCTCTGCTGCAGAAACATGTTGCAAAAAGCAGTTTTTCCTGTCAGAGGTGATTTTTGGGCTCAAGGGAATTGTTCACCGAGGGAGAATTTGGGGAGATCTAAATTTCAACCAACCTATCATTCTATGATCTATAAAAGTTGGCAAGTTGACATTTCAAAGCTTAAAGAAGACTACTTAAGCTGGAGTAATTCAGATACTGAATTTGTCATTTGTGTTCTTTCTTCTGCTTTAAAGTGGAATAAAATCACCAAAGAGAAAAAGGGAGATAATTATGTAATTAAATGCAGTACTTAATGCACTATTTTACATGTTTGCCTAATTTTGTTAAACTGCTGATTCCCATGCAGATGTTTCTGGAGATATGAAAGTCTCAAAATAAGATTTTAATATTAATTTTAAAAATAAATATGATAGCACTTTGAAGCACTAGGAAGACCAGGGAATTTAAACACATGTCTCTGTCATAAAAATTTCAGGAACTCTGCAAATCACTGATCGAGACCTAGAGGAATGGAGGCATGGAAGGTTGAACTTGAACCTTCCTGAGCAAAATGTTCAGTGTCTGAGCACACCGCATTAAGACTCTATTATTCTTCAAATGAGTTAATTTAAGATGAGAGCATTGAAGCAAAAAGGAGAAAAAAATGTCTTTGTATCCAGTGTCATCAAGTTAATAATTCTGGGTTGTAAGAAAATGGGTACCAATCTATTGTGTTTGGATAGCTTTTACTCTTTGAAAGACAAAAACATTGTTTTTGAAATAAAAACCATTGACAATTCAATACAAATAGAAGTATGTATTAAATAAAAAAACTGATATATGTTGTTATAGCATATGTGTTTCTACCATGTCTAGGTGTAGAATAGAGCTAAAGGGGCTTGGAGAAGTTAAAACCTAAGCATGTCAAGCAATCGGTGGCAGAAAATGAGTCCAAATCCTGATGCCAGATAATTTTGAATGACTGCTGTGTGCTAGGCACAATGCTAGACACTGAAGGTACAAAGATGCATAAGAAATATTCTCTGTCCTGGTTAATAATGGAGGGAAAGGGATGGAGTGGAAGAGGCAAAAAGTAAATAAGCAACTACAGAAAAATGTGATAACCCCTTGCTAGAGGTACAAATGGTATTCTGAGACCAGAGACAAAGTTCCTCCCCTACTAACCTGTTGTATTCAGCTACAGAGAAATAAATGTCATATGAACTGGAGTTTTATCCCTGACTCTAACCCAAGTCTTTCCTCTGGTATTGCTTTGGAGTCTTGTTCAGTCGCAGGGACTTCTCCTCCTTCCCTCTAAATATCAACACACTAGCGGGCTCTGTGTGATGTGTGTGTCAAATTTGCCCTGCTTTTTACAGCTTGTATTTGTGGCATTCTGGCAAGATAAGCATTAAGGAGACACAAGGCTGCCCAAGATTCCTGGCAAGGAGGGGAAGAATTCAAAGTGGGATCTCTCGCCTTCTCTTTCTCATCAGACTGCAAGCTCCAAACCCCTACCTATAGCAACTCTCCATAGGACCTTTTCCTTGGAATGAAATTCTTATGAATGGGGAATAAGGCTTTTCAACACTTTTTGTAAAGGTAAATTTTTTTGTTATACATCAACCTACAAATTTTTCAGATCTGTAAGAACAGAGAGAAAGTTGCAACTCTCTTTTTGTTCCATCACTCACTATGGAGGATGCCTTTGGCTTCTTAAATTTTGAAGTACTAGTTGGCTTTGAAGCAAGGCTGCTAAAACCTGCAGTTTTTATAGTTTATAGACTCCGTCGTTTCCCACTCATAGAAGATCCTGATGCCAGAAGACAACAGTGACTCTGTATTAGCTTCCTGCTTGTTTGAATAAAGAGTTGAAAATACTATTAGAATCATATTGGCCAAGATGGTCCTTGGTCTGACAGGGAGCCAGATCCAACATGGCCCATCATGTGTTGAATCCTGGCCTCTGGTGGCTTGAAAACTACATGGGATCCATGCATGTGCCCTAAATCCCAACAGGATGGAAACAGGAGAAGGAGGGATTGTGGTGTGACCGTGTGCCATTGGGGAGTGTTCTCTTTCTCTCTCTCTCTCTCTCTCTCTCTCTCTCTATCTCTCTCTCTCTCTCTCTCTGTTTCTTTGTCCCACTCCGTTGAGTGATGCACCCTCTGGCAAATTAAAAACAAACAAATAAACAAAAAAAAACAGAAAGCCACATTGCCTATCTAAGGAGGATAGAGCTATTTTAAGAAATCAGTGACCCTTTGTGCTGCTGAAGGATTGCACTGATGTCTAGAGGGCTTAAGGATAGCCTGAGCAGCTTAATATAACAGAGTTAGAAGAAACTGAGATGTCCAGATCACTGAGGAGGGAAGGGGTGAAGAAGCAAGATAGGAGGAGCAAGCCACTAAATGAAGCAACAGAGTCAGTGAGAATCCCCAGAAGGATTGGCAAGATCTGAAGTGTCCAGCATGCTACTGTTTGCTGTACAAGAAGTCCACAAGCCCCTTCCCTATGCCTCTAAACCACAGGACTTTCGGCTACACACAACGGCAAGTGCTCAGTTGGCTGTGAGTTAAAATGAAGAGATAGGGCAAGTTCCGGCTTAGGGCTCATGCCTAGACAGAGGCAAAAGAAGAGCTGCAAGAAGTACAAGGTAGCAATTTATCAAAAGCAGGAATTGGAGCTAGAAATGACCATTAAAATGTTATCCTACTCCTCAGAAATTCAGAGAAAAAGAGGGTCTTGCATCTGGAAAGATCCCAGTAGTGGGAACTATACAAACCGTCAAAGTTCTGTACCCTCTTCGTCTTCTACAATACCAGCAGCCAATGAGCAGTAAAACTCCCAGGATCACTATCAGGATACCAATCCCAGCGGCCCTGGCCCAAGAGATAAACAAATTCAATTTGGCACATAAACGGTGTTCCAGATTGTGAAGAAACATAAATCTGTCTTCTCCCCTCCTATGGGTTTGTATTCCTTTTTTTCCAAGAGATGTTTGCTATAGGGTACATGTGCTCACTAGAAAGATAGAAAGTGAGAAATCACCCCACTCCCCCACCAGGGAGACCAAGCCACAATCTCTTCTCCTCTTGGGATCTTGGGTGAGCATGCACTCACATTCGCCTGGCGTGAGTTTTAAGTTGACAGGTCCAGGACTCAAACTGTGGTTGACTACATGGGAGTCCAGCAGTGTAACCTTTTGGTTTCTTCCTATGGGTTTTGACAGTCCAGAGCAGCACCTCCCAGTCCCCAAATAGTTCCCACCACCAATACTGAGCACCCCGCTGGACCTCCAACACTTGTATCTAGGGACAGGTCCTTGTCTAGGAGCTTGTCAGGTGTCACAGAGCAGAAGCACAAAAGGTGCCATAGTAACTATGTGGGCAATATATTTTGGGGGACCGAATTACCTTCTCATCATGGCTGTTTTAAAGCATTTTCCCTTAGTCAGTTCCCTCCCCACTTTTTTGCCAGAGGGTGCAGGTGGTCACCTAAGAGAAACAGAGACAGGGAGGGCCAACAGGTGGTGTGGTGGTTAAGGGTGCTGGACTCCCATGTGGCTGACCGCGGTTTGAGTCCTGAACCTGGTGGCTTGCTTTCTCACTTTCCCTCTCTCTCTCTCTCTCTCTCTCTCTCTCTCTCTCTCTAGTCAAATTAAAATAAATAAAATAAAGTTAAAACATACTTTAAAAAAAAATACAGAGACAGGGAGAGAGAGGGAGACAGCACTCCCCCATAGGGAATGGTCATGCCATAATCCCTTCTCATCTGTCTCTTCATCCCATCATGTTTTAGAGGTATACACACACACACACATGCCTAGCATACTTTTACAAGCTGGTAGGGCCAGAATTTGAACCACAGTGCTAGCCATGTGGGAGTTGGCTCCCTTATGCCAAAGGACTAGCCCTCCCTACCTTGGTCTCTGTTGTGTCAAATTATTATCAACCAAACATGTGCTATAAGCCAGCTGTTGTACTAAGCACTGATTTTATTCAATTCTCATAATTACCCTGTAAGGTAGATACCATTTATCATCTGCATTTTACAGATGAGGAAATAAATACAAAGGGTAAGTGACTTGGTGGTGGTCGTATAGAGCCAGTACACAACAGGGCTAGGATTTGAACCCGAGTGTGTCTCAACCATGTTTGTGCCACTCTGCTCAAAACTCTTTCCTTTCTCTCCTTATAGCCCCGGGGAACTGTGTCTGAGCTGGACCTAGAGCAAGGCTGTAATATCCCTTGATGAGAAGGATCTGATCCTGAGCAGCAGGATACAAATCTGGGGACCTAAACCAGGCTCTTGGACCCTGTGTTCAGGAACCCCAGAGAAGCATTACAACTACTACAGAGGTCCTGAAAACTGGCATGGGGTTGTAAAAAAATTGTCAACTAGCTGAGTCTGCCGGATTTTCCACAATGCAGCATGATCAAAATTGAGAGTACTGAGTCTGCTATCTGTGGTTGTCAACTTGCTAAGAAAGGTTCTGCAGAGCTGGAGGCATTTACAAGAAACTGAGCAGAGGTAAGAGAAACAAGGTTGAACTGAGGCTTCTCCTGAAGAAACATTTGTCTAATATCTCCTACCAGACCGTCTTCATCTCAGAGCTGCTGAGACATCAAGCCTGTCCTGTCTGTCTTCACACTGGATGGAGGGACCCAAGGGGTGACAGTGAAATCTCTGACCCAATTATTTATGTTCATCCACCCATTTTAGAGATCACAAAGCTGAGACCTCCCAAGATTCCTCAACATCATTTCTACCATAGTGACTACCATTCATTGAACACCAGTTTGTGCCAGGCACTTTGCTAAGCACCTCACATATATGCATTTATTTCGTCCACACAACGATCCTCTGAGGCAGATATGATGTGTATTTAACAGCTGTACTAGGCCCAGAGTTGCAAAATTAGTGGCTGAACCAGCATTCACATCAATCAACATTAGATACCAGCAAATAAGCAGTAAGATTTGGACCAGACGTAGTTCTCCTATCACCCAGGCCTGCACAATTACTCTCCTAAAATGAAGCTGTCACAAGGAGAATTCAATGGCTCTCATGACCGAAGGCAGCTGATTCAATTCCCAGCAGTCCTGTGCTCCAATTTTACCCTGTGGTCATCCCTTTGAACGTCTTGACACAGACAGAGCTCTGTTCTCACCTTTCATGCATAATCATGTTGCACTCACAACACACCCAAATTAGTGAGACAAAAGCGGCAGAGTCTGCAGACACTCCAGCATAGTGGGGCTCCTCAGAGTGTCACCAGACACCACGTGTAGCAGAATCACCTGAGATGTACTTTAGAGTGCAGGTCCTGGGGCCCAGCCCTGACTCACCAAATCCAGCTTTTTGGGTGGTGGCACCTGGGAGTATGCACTTTAACCAGCCCCATGGATGACTTATAATCACTCAGCTGTGAAAACCTCACTCCATTGAGGTTTCAAAGAAACAGATAATATTCAAAGCAGGTGGGTGTCCTTTTTTTTAGCTGGCTGAGTGTGGAAACTTACTTTCCATTATTATTCCTCATTCTCTCTGATGGCACAATTGTGAGAAGGATAAATATCCTCAGAGAAACTTAGAGATGCATTACTCCAACAAAGATGTCCCCAGTTCCCTACCTCAACCCTGTCGTGCTTGCAGGTAAGTAGGGACCTTTCACAGAGGAATGCGTCCTGATATTGGTGGGCTGGTTAGTTGTTTTCTGGACTGATCTCTTTTACTCCCCTGTAGAAGATGATGATGTTCCTTGTACCCAGTGGTCTCTTTCTTCACAGACAGGTTCAGAGTGTCAGTGTGAGAGGGAGGCAGAAGGGATGTGTGTCACTTGAAAGGAATGGTCCTCGCCACTCCATCACCTCCTCCTTTCCGTTGGTGAGACATGGAGATCATGGTGGACCATCTTCACGCATGTAGACAAAGGCAACGTCCAAGGGGAATAACCAGAAGAGGCAAACTGACAGGCTTGGAACTTTTTACTCTTGGACGATTATATCAATGAGAAATAAATTTACACTTTACAGAAGAGTCTGTTGAGTCATAATACAGTAGCTGAAATATCCTAACACCATGTGCAATGTACTCCTGTCCCTGCAAGGCCATATTTTGACTCATACGGCATTTTGTTAGAAGATATTGCCATTCACAATTGACCAAGCAGATATATTAGCAAATCCATTCAGATCTTTTGAAAAGATACTCACAGGCTGAATTCTTCCTCAGTGCCTTTGATGGATTCCACATCTTGCTTGTTGCTGCTAATGGACTCTATCAGAAATTTTCAACTGGGGCCGGCCCCATAGCTCAGGGGTTAAGTGCTGTGCATAGGGACCTAGATCCTACATGGCCAACTATTGTTTGAGTCCCATCCCCAGCAGCATGAAAACACCCTGAGCACATGTGCAGGTGCCCAAATTCTGACGGAAAAGGATGGAAGAAAAGGGATCACAAAGTGACCAGGTCCCATTGGAGGGCGCTTTCTCTCCCTCTCCCTCTCATGCATGCATCCTCTGATATTAAAAAAAAATAGTAATAATAAGTATTTTTTTAGCAGCTCTTTCCAAAAAGAGAGTAGATTTGTAGTGCATTCAGGACAGACTACATGAGAGATGGTCCAAAAACAAACCTGGTTTCTTGTCCTGGTAGAGTTTCCATGCAGAGGGTGGAGCCTCCCCTCCCACAACCATACTCTTCCCCACTTCTAGGACATGCAGAATGTGTCCCTGTGGCCTCCTGGTTCCCTTACAGGACTTATATTTGCTAAAGTTTCTCAGAAGGTTGTGAGCCTAAATCTCCCACAAGGTTGTGAGCTTTTCAAAGATATGAAGTATCTTGGACCAGAATAAAGTGTTCACTACGTAGAAATCCTTAATTGATAAATGCTTAAACACTAAATGCCTTTCGTTGGAATAAAATTATGAAGCGAAGATTATAATCTTCTTCATCCTGAAGTCATCTGTAGGTTGAATCTCAATTATCTACCTTTCGTCCTCACTGGCTTATTGGCAAATTGTTTTTATTCTGTCTGCAAACCACCTTCAGGAGCCTGATTGGAGTAGACAGAATGAGGCTTGAGAAAGAGGCATCGGGATTCCAGGTAGATGTTTTTCCATTTGGAAATCTAGTTAAAGCCCAAGAGCCAAGAACACAGAAGAGCTAGCTGTTTACCTCTCCTAGCTCCCTGGCTGTTTGCCCTCAGAGAAGTTTGAGTGAGTCCCTCGTAGGACCACAAGGTCTCTTCACCTTGTTGCAAGGGTTTACACTCAGAAGAAGCACGGGGGATACTGACAAACAGGCATGTGCTGCTGGAAGTCAGCAGGCTTTGTCAGCAATTGGGAACCCCTCTGGGCCTAGTTTTGAACTTACTCTTCAGCTGTGATGTGGGAGCGGTCATGCCCCTTCCTAGAGTAACCATAGACGAAGTGAGGGTCATCTCTTGGCATCTTGTGGAGTTTGGCACAGGACACCTAATAGGAGTACATGAGCATCACTTAGTGTGACAAAACATTCTCAATCATTGGAAGGACCCAAAGAGATATTTTTGCTAGGGAACCAAGACTAACAGCCAGTGCCCTGTGGTTTCTCTGTAAGAGGATTTGCATCTCCTTCGACTGATATCAAGGGCTTTAGAAAAAGCTCCAGTTTCTCACTCCTTCCACTATGTGAAAATTAAATTTAAACAAAAAACTACAAAACAGGGATCAGCAGTTAGCGTAATAGCTATGTCGCTGGACTCCCATGTACTCAACCGTGGTTTGCATCCCGGACCCAGTGGCTTAAAACTCATGCTGGGCGCGTGTGCATGCATGCCCAAGATCCCAAGAGGAGAACGGAGGAGAAGGGATTACGGCATGGCCATCCCTCCCGGGGGGGGTTGATTTCTCGCTTTCTGTCTCTCTGTCTGTCTCTGTCTGGCGAGCACACGCACCCTATAGCAAAAAAAAAAAAAAAAAAAAAAAAAAAAAAAAAAAAAAACAAAAAAAAAACACACAAAAAAACAAAAAAAAAAAAAAAAAAAAACAACAACAACAACAAAAAAAAAACCTACAAAACAAAGAAGAAAACTTTCAAATTGAGTTATTATTTGGGGAGAAAGTGCACATCATTTGCCTTCAGTTGGACTTTCTGCCACAAACTTGTGGAGAAACAAACATGCAAAAAGCATTTGACTCAAATGATGGTGCGTTGGTAAAATGCAACAGTCTGCAATGCAGTCTCACATGTGCAGTTTCTGGTTCAAAGCTGGAGAGCTCCCTGAGTATGCCAGGGACATGCGTGCCTGGATCTGGGGCTGGCTGAAGGCTGGGTGTGGATTACAGCATTGGAACCCTGTTGAGGTGCTTACTTTCTCTCTTAATCATGGAGGAAATAAAATTTTTTAATGCTTCACAAAAAGTGTTTTTATTCATACTCTACTTCTCTGACTTGTGGCTATGATGAATAAATTAAGAGGAGTTATTTCATTCTCTTCAGTTATTATTTAGTATCACTCCCTGGACAAGCCGAAGGCTATAATGACATAATGTGTATTTCAGCGCACCCTCTGACTGAGCCTCACCATGACGCATAAGGCAGAGGAGCCAAGCACGGTATCCTCCAACCCCACTTTTCAACAAGGGAAACCACCACCTACCAAGCTGTAGAAGCCTTGGCTTGGCCGTGTACACTTCACCCAAAATAAGTTGAGGAGACCCTGACTTTGTCTAACAATTTGTTTTCCTTTCCATCTACATCAATTTCTGCTTCTCCCTAGTTCACATCTCATGGATAGGATTTTAAGAAATAAAGTGTTAAACTCTAATATGCATAAATGCATACAGAAAAAGTCATGAATGGCTATAATCGTGATTACAGAGTATTCATTAAAAGTCAGTCATGGAAGTTTTTTCTTCTCACTATTGTGTATTTTCTTCCCTCTTAATGCTCTAATGAATTTCAAAGGTCTGATCCCCTTAGAGTTATATTAATGATCTCAGTTTAAAACAACAGGCCAAGTGGGAGAGTGGAGTAGGGATTATACCACATGACTGCTGTCCACTGGGGGCATTTTATGTGTAACTTGCCTTCCCTAGTTATAAAAATGAAATTATAGTTGAGCTCACTGATCCCCTCAGGTGAATAATGTCAGCGTGTACCCTGTGTTCAAAATGACAGACAAGAAACAATTCGGCATTAGATTGTTTTTGCACATGCGCACCTCAAGCTCAAGGCCTTGGAAAACAATGTAGGGGCAGTAAAATGCATCCACTTGAACCAAGAGAAGCTCTCGGGGGATATTTTGTTGTTTTTTTTTTTTTTTTTTTTGGAGAGATGTTTGCTATAGGGCACGTGCGCTCTCCAGACAGACAGAGACAGACAGAAAGCGAGAAATCACCCCCCAGGGGGGATGGCCACGCCGCAATCCCCTCTCCTCCCTTCTCCTCCTGAGACCTTAGGCACACACGCACACACACCCAGCGTGAATTCAAGCCACCAGGTCCGGGGCTCGAACCGCGGTCGACCACATGGGAATCCAGCGACATAGCCATTACGCTAACTGCTGGTCCCGAGAAGCACTCCTTTAAGGGATTGGAGAAGACGTCTAACTCAGGGAGACTGCATCTCACTACAGATTACCACCTTAAAGAGACCTTAGGCACACACGCACACACACCCAGCGTGAATTCAAGCCACCAGGTCCGGGGCTCGAACCGCGGTCGACCACATGGGAATCCAGCGACATAGCCATTACGCTAACTGCTGGTCCCGAGAAGCACTCCTTTAAGGGATTGGAGAAGACGTCTAACTCAGGGAGACTGCATCTCACTACAGATTACCACCTTAAATAATCGCTTTCTTCTTGAACTGAGAGAGAATCTAGGAGGAGACTGAACCCTCAGAAATTGGAGAATTACAAATGCTGAGAAATTCGACTGACAGGGAGGCAATGAGGTTGGGTAGAGGAATCCACCAGACCCTGCTCTGGAAGAATAGAACTATGATTATGTCAAGAAGGTGATCTTACCTTACTTGATGAAGACAGTCCTCCGTCTGCTGGCTGCCCGTGTGTGTGTGTGTGTGTGTGTGTGTGTGTGTGTGTGTGTTCACGCGCGCACGCGCGAAGACTGCTTCTTTGGCTTTTAATCTTTTTATTTTTTTATTTTTTCTGTTCTTAAGTCTCATGAAAGTCACGGGTTTGGATTTCTGACAGGGTTGTCTGTGACTGCTTAATTGGCATGAAAGAGCAATTTCATTCCTCCCTTCAAAAAGTTGCAGGTCACTGCAGCCTCTGTTTTCCCCAATCATAAAGCTTCATCCTAGGGAAGCCATTAATTTTAAATGTTGATCCATCCTCCACAGGGTTGCCAGATAAAATAGATGATGCTCAAGTGACTTTGAATTTCAGATAGACAATGACAATCTTTTCAGTATAACTATATCCCCTACAATATTGTTCGTATAAATATGCCCCACATATTGTATGGGATATACTAAAAATATTATCCTTTTTCTTTAGCAAAAATCTTAACTGGATGCCCTCTTCCCACCTTCCTATCCACCTCAAAGGGTGAAAGCACCTTTAGGCTCACGTCTAGAGAATATCTAGTCCCATGCTCTCATGATCAGTAAGAGGAAATAGAAGATCCCCCAAACCCCCTTAGCTGAGCTCCCACATTCTTTGTGATGCTGTGATGCCTTTGGGATTCTATGCACTGGGAACAGAGGGTTTTCATGCATTTGCAAGGGGCATGGAAAATTTGCTCTCTGAAAGTAGAATATGACTTACTTGGGATCTAACTGACATCAGGGCTGATTCTGCCTAATGTCATGATCTATTCTGGGGGTTAAATAGTCTAGTAGCATTTCTTCTTCTCCTCCTCTTCCTCTTCCTTCTTCATCGTTTTATTTTATTTATTTATTTTTTTTTTTAAAGAAGCTTTTGCCTTAGGGCGCATGCACTTGCTGGGGACAAGACAGTAAGAAGGAAAGTGAGAAATCACTTGAGGGGATGGCTATGCTACAGTCCCTTCTCTTCCATTCTCCTCTCGGGATCTTGGGCACGCATGCACACACGCCCGCCCAGCCTGAGTTTAAGCCACTGGGTCCGAGACTTGAACCGCGGTCGACTACATGGGAGTCCAGTGACATAGCCATTACGCCAACTGCTGGTCCCAAAGAATATAATTCTTTTTCTTTCTTTCTTTGTTTTTTTTTGGGGGGGTTTTTTTTGTTGTTGTTGTTTTTGGGTTTTTTTGGAGAGGTTTTTGCTATGGGGTGCGTGTGCTCAACAGAGAGACAGAAAGCGAGAAATCACCCCCAGGGGGGATGGCCACACCGCAATCCCTTCTCCTCCATTCTCCTCTCAGTATCTTGGGCACACACGCACATGTGCCTGGCATGAGTTTAAACCACTGGGTCCAGAACTCGAAACGCAGTTGACTCCATGGGAGTCCAGTGACATAGCCATTACGCTAACTACTAGTCCCTAAAATAATTCTTTAAAAATAAAAAAAATTGGGAGGGATCCAAGCCCCTGTTGTCAGTGGATGTGGGAAGATTAGCTTCAACCTGAGCCTCAGGTTATGCCGTAACTCCCTGAAAGCCCCTGTGATAAGTGAGTCTATAAAGAAGGGTGAGTTCTGAGCCAAGGATCCCAATGCTTATGCTAAGCTGGGCCCCTGGACACTGGAGAGCAAGACCACTAAGGAGGGAGGTGCTGGTCTGGATCTCGGGCCAAGGTGAAGCTCCCAAGTCTCACTCAAGTCTTGGGGATGTGAACTGGTTTGGGGACTTGAGTGTGCCTTGGCATTCTTCCAGAGGGGAAGCAAGGTAGCTGGAATCCTCTGCTCCCTCAGAGCAGCTATAGAGCAGACCCAGCGTGCTGGGGGCACTACAACATATCTGGGTCCATATGCTCCAGCTCATTTGCTTCTTGAAGCTCAATGAAGACATCCTGACTAGATTTTTCACAGACATGTCTTTGGGTCTTTGAGCAGTTTGCAAATCCTGAGTTGCACAGACCTTCCTAGCTCAGGTGTCCAAGACAAGCTGGGTATGATTTCTTCATGTAAAGATTCCTTGGGGAGCTCAGCCTGGAAATTCAACTGCATCCTATTTTCCTGGAAGGCTTTCAGAAGTTCGCTCTGATTAGGCTCCTATTCATTGTCCTAGGACTGGACTCTCGCCTCAGGCTCCACCCCAGAGCCAACCCAAACCCACCCTAGCTGCCTTCATCCTCACTTCTCAATGCCTTCCTTTTCTTCCCTGGCAAAATAGGCCTAGGTGAATGGCAGGAACTCTAGAGTTCAACAGTCTGCACTAAATCTCTTTAATCTGTGTGACCTTGGACAAATCACAAACTTCCAAAGCCTTAATGCATGCCTCTCAGAAAGGGGACTAATTTAATATCTGCTTTATAGGTTCATTATGAGAGTTAAAGAAGCTTATGCTTAAAAGTACTTGTTAAAGTATCTTCTTCATTTTTTGTTTTGTTTTGTTTTGTTTTTTTAAGTTTTCTACAGGGTGTGTGCATTGGTGGGGTGGGAGTAGGGCAGAAAGCGGAAGAGATGGCCATTCCGCAATCTCTTGTCCTCCATTCTCTTCTAAGGATTTTGAGTATACACACACACACACACACACACACACACACACACACACGATCGCTCACTAGACTGGCATGTCTTTTGGGCACTGGATCAGGTACTAAAGTCCCGCAGCCGGCCACGTGGGATCTAGCCGCCTTAACCTCCATGC